GAGCCCCCGCTGCCCGGGAGGGGCCGGCCGCGGCGCCCCTCTCAGCGCTGGCCGTCTCCCCGCCAGGTCTACACGGTGGTGGACGAGATGTTCCTGGCGGGCGAGATCCGCGAGACGAGCCAGACCAAGGTGCTGAAGCAGCTGCTGATGCTGCAGTCGCTGGAGTGAGGCGCCGCCCCCGCCCGGAGGAAGGGGCCCCGCGGGGTCTGGGCGCCCCAGGGAGGAGACCACACCCCTGCCTCGGGGCCACCGCGTGCGTCCCGAGGAACCGTGCTGTTGTCGCGAGGCCGTGCTGTTGTCGTGAGGCCGTGCGTGTGCGTGTGTGTGTGCGCGAGTGCCTGGAGCCCTCAATAAACCTGTGGTCCCGCCCAGCCTCGCCTGCCTTCCCGGGGCTGCCCCAGCCTCTGCCGCGCCAGGGAGACGACGAGGGGTCTGGCGGTGCCCACAGAGCTGCGCCGTCCTCGCAGGCTCTGTTCCCCGCATGGGGAACCCTGGGGGTGCGGCGGCCGGAGCTGGGGCTGCGGGGTGCGGGGTCCAGCTGCGTCTCAACCACTGCCCCTGCTGCCCCGCCCCCCAGCCGAGCCTATGTCGGTGCCGGCGGTGATGAAGCGCCTGCAGAAGCCTTCATAACACACGTTCCTCGCGCGCTCCGCCAGGACCTCCATTGATGGATTTAAGATTGTACTTATTTATTTGAGAGGTAGAATTACAGACAGAGAGGGAGACACAGAGAGGTCTTCCATCCTCTGGTTCACACCCTAAATGGCCCCAACGGCCAGAGCTGCGCTGATCCGAATCCAGGAGCTTCCTCTGGGTCTCCCATGCAGGTGCAGGGGCCCAAGCACTTGGTCCATCCTCCACTGCTTTCCCAGGCCACAGCAGGGAGCTGGATGGGAAGTGGAGCAGCCGGGACTCGAACCAGCGCCCATATAGGATGCAGGCAGAGGCTTAGCCCACCGCAGCGCTGGCCCCCAAAGTAAGCTTTTAATTCCACTCTTCCACGCGCTCTTCCCAGCCCGCGGTAATCCCACGGCAGTGGCTTGCATCTGTGGCTTGGAGCAACACGGTTATGCGCGGAAGTTCTAGAAGTGCAGAACGGGCTCCTTGGGTCAGCGGCGCAGGTCAGCAGCGCCGTCTGCAGCTGCAGAGGACGCCCAGCGCCCGGAGGCTGCCAGCCCTGAGCATCTGACTAGACTCAGGCCTCCCATCTCCCTGGTCCCGTCTGGCTGGTCCACCGTGACAGTCCGCCTGGAGATCCCCAGTCACCTCCGCAAACTCCGCCCGCCACCAGCGCTCCCGGGGTTCAGCCGCGGGCGGGCTCAGCCGCTGGCGGGCGTCTCTGCAGGAGCTGCTGTTGTGTGTACTGAAAAAAAAAAAGCAAGCCCTGACTTGGTAGCACCAGAAAGCTCCCTCAGCTGGAACGAGGATTCTGGAACAGCAAGTGCAAAGGCCCTGAGGCGGGGTGTGGGAGGAGCACGTGGCGGCGGGCGGAGAGAGTCTGGAGAGCGTGCGGTGGGGCGGGGCAGGAGGGGCGGGGCACAGGACCCGAGCG